GGCTTTTCCAACTTTAATCTTGGCTTGTCCAACTAAAAAGTTGGTAATGCCAACTTTAATGTTAATTTTCCCACTTTTGATCTTGGCTTTTCAACTTTTTTAAGGCTTCTTGCATTTATTCTATACGTTGTAGATTGACTCGTGTTGTTTTTTATAATTACAATTTTAAAAAACCTGATCTAATCACTAGAATGAAACTGTGATGGACACAAGGGAATAATTTTCATTGTGTTTATATATACACTATGATAAATTTAGTACAGTTGTCTTTGTAGCATGACATATAGCGTTAATTCATCTTATATATAAAACACCTTATACGGTCTTATTTGTTTAAACTCATTCTCAACAAATTTTATATGTTTGATCTCTTAAATAGGTAGAGTTGACATGCTCTCATTTACGGTGTTAAATGAAGTTATCCTCTATGATATTATATAAGATATAAAGGGTTGTATAAGAATTGGAAGTTATATGTAAGGTCATAGAGAAGGTCAAAGTAAAAAAAAATAATTGACACAATTTAATTGCTAGCAAATTTATTTCCGTGTATTAATTATGTATAAATTAAGTTGATAATAATATAGAATAAAGGAGAAAAAAAGCTAAGGGCAAAGTAAGAAAAGCTCAAATTAAAGTTAGAAAAGCCAAGATTAAAGTTAGAAAAGCCAACTTTAACTCTGGAATGACCAACTTTTAAGTTGAAAAGCCAAGATTAAAGTTGAAAAATCAATTTTAAAGTTGGTATTACCAACTTAAATAATATTACCTACCTTACGCTTTCGTATGGAAGGAAAAAATATCATGTAAATATTTTTAAAAAATCTTAAACATATTTAGGCATTGAATTCTTATTTTTGGATGTCGTCGGTCCTATAACACACCTGGCCGGGCCGATAAATTGAATACCGCGCGTTAGCGCGGTATGATAATTTGTCGGCACGGCCAGGTGTGTTATAGGACCGACGACATCCAAAAATAAGAATTCAATGCTTATATTTACATTTTTTTAAATTCTCTCTCTTCATAGTTGTTTATTTCGTTAATTTAGCGCCTTTCAGAACTGGTGTGCTAAATAGACGTAAGAGCCGTTTGTGACGTTGGAAAGTTAAATAACGCAAATGAACATTGCGAGAAAAAAATGACAAATTAATTTTAAACGCACAGTTGTTGTATTTTACCTTAATTTAACAGGATAGTTTTTTTTTAAATTAAATTGAGTCAAAACAATATACATTTTGGTGTTCCTGGAAATTGAAAATGCATATAGTTGCTACTGTGTATTCTACCGCACGGTGACAAGGTTTCGCGTGTGTTATAGAGATTTGAACGTCGTAGATTTCTAATGGATTTTATAAAGAAAAATACACTCACTGAATGTAAATATTGTTATATGAGCACAGAATTTATAAATCATAGAACACTCTCAATACAAAGATCAAACTGACTCTATAATTTATGTCACAACTGAAATAATCGTAAAATTGTTTAAACACGGCTTTACTGGAGTTTGACCATGATCACCGTCACGGTTGCTCAGTCGGTAGAGCGTTCGTTGTTTCAAGCCCCGGTCGCCATTGACCAAAATGGATTTTTAAAAAGAAGTAGCAACTGTTCCTCACCAATCGCTCGGCACTTGAAGTGAAAGTTGCGGGTCTTTCGGATGAGACCTTTAAAACCGAGGTCCCTTGTCACGTTAAAAGTTGGCATGATCAAGATCCCTCACTGCTCAATGGCCTTTTGTAGATTTTCGAATAAAATCCCACCGACAGTGGGTCCTTGCTGCCGACATAAAGATTAAGCGACTAATTATCAAAAAATGGCAAGTGGTATAATATACTCGTCTGAAATTCAAATTAATGAAATTTTCATATCTAATTTTGTTCGAAAAAAAAATTTTGAGCATTTTATCGAGTAACTAAGAAAAATACTGATAAATTGAGAACTTTGGATCACTAAATTTCAATTGCTAGATGGTCAAATATTCCATTGAATGAAAGAGCTAGACACATCCCTTTTCATTTGGAACAAAAATCTACATCAAGTATCAGGAAGAACATTTTACATCCCAGATGATTGATAGCTGGAAAAAATTGAATTGATTAGTAAAATAATAATTGAGTGTATAATCTGCAATTAGTTGATCAACAAAATTTTGACAAATGATTAAATGTATTTCGACTTTTTTTTCCTTTTAATCATTCATTCGTATAGTGTCAACAAAACAGTTTTGTAACATTCTATATCATCAAATGAAGTATTTTCTTTATTTCTTTACTTTCGATATCATAGCTATACTATGCATATTAAAGAAAAAGGAGAAACTGTGTTAGTCATTTTCCATAAAAACAGCTTAAAATGAAAAAAACTTAATAAATTACATTGCATTTCTACTTATCAATTGTATACATGTATATCAAAGTCCAATGATTTTCTAGTTAAATCATGATACTGATTTTCATGATCTCCAGTGCAATATTTTTTCGTATTGACTAAAAGTTTGCTCTAAAATGATATGAGGAATAAATCATGATCACTTTTATTGTTGGAAATCCACATTAATTGTAAATAATGTTGTTTTCATTTTAAGCTGTTTTTATGGAAAATGACCAACACAGTTTCTCCTTTTTCTTTGATATGTTTGTACAATAATTTTAAACCACATTAAATACAATTACAGAAGTGCACGTAAATCATTACACATGTACAAATATTTCAACCCCAAATGGCTGCAAATAACACCTTTAAACCCTTGAAAGAAATGCTCTTGATCCAAATTAATTTGAAAATAACCTTTACTTTATCTGCGAGTGTATGCATTTAACCCTATACTGTTTTTACAGTCAGCTATCCTCCAAAACCAACCAACCCATATTCATGTACACCAAGAACGTTTCCATACTCTCTAAAGCTTTCCTGCAAAGGACTAATGCTTTTCGAAAGAAATAGGTTGCACTTTGCTTTTAATTAATTTAAATTGATAGTCTCTGCTAGTTTTCAAGGAGTCTATAAAACTATTGATAATCATAATGGCTGTTCAAAGGAATTTTACCTAAATTAATGCACCCTTAAGTAGAAGTGGAAAAATTAGAAATCCATAAAAAGTTGTTCCACATGAATTGATTTTAAAATATTCATAATACTTTATAATAGCGAAATATACCATGTTCCTTATAAACATCTGTTAAAACATCTGTTCGTTTATTTGAATTTTAATACGCATGTATCTACATTCAACATTTTCCCCTTTTAAACTTCCTATGAATTATTTGCATTAATATGTATATATAGCGGATAGGTAATATCGTAATTATAAGATGTTTTGGGGAAGGGTATAAGAAATCTAAATATTATATTATGGAAATATGGGAGAACAATGGGGATTTTGATTTGTACTTACAAGTGGGGAAAGATCAAACTCATCATCGTTAACGTTTTTCCATGTTCAACTGAAGCAGATGCCGATACAGATTTCAATTTTTTATGAAAGTTAAACTTTCAAAAAAAAAATTTTCTATTTTTTATGAAAGTTAAACTTTCAAAAAAAATTTGAATATTAGATTGAGTGGAGATATGGTGTTGAGATTCTAAAAAAAAAAAAATCAAACGCTTAAAAGAAAAAGAACGGTTCTTTCTACTATATCCTATTGCATCAAATCAACTCCTTTAATTAAAAAAAATCACATTGCAGAGTTTATTTGATAAATAAAATCTGTCAGATAAAGTACAATACAATGTTTACATTCAATATGGAAATTTATATTTTAAGTCAATAATGATTAAGTACACTTTTCAATATCTTTTCTACAAGCATGAAGAGGATAGAAAATGTTGAATGAAAACCAGGGAAACCTTATGAAAGTACTCCAGTACCTTCAAGGTTGATGAAGTAATTACACTGAGACTGGAGTTGGACCACAAAATAAGAATATACTGGATAAACAAGTCAATTTGTTAAATTTATATATATATATATAAAAAAAAAAAAAAAAAGCTTAAATATATGTAGTGAAGGTTCAAAACAATCCTAGGACCAGGTACATTATGTACATATATTATTGAGATCAGTGTTGCAAGTTTTCAATTCTATTCAGGTTTGCAAATAAAATTTAAAACCATCTGTGCCCCCATTTTACTAACCCACATTGTTATTTTGGGGCCCACAATTTTCCCTCAACTTTGTAAAAACTTTTTGGCATTTCAATCTCTGAGAAGTATACTTAGCTGTCCACAGTCTTTCATTTCCTTGATGATTTTGAGACCATAAATGAATGACATTGCACCAATTTCTTCATTTCCCTGATTTTGAGACCATAAATGAATGACATTGCATCATTTTCTTCATTTTTAAAGCTCATAAAGTTATAATGTTAAGGCAATTAAGGGTCTAGAAAACATTTGTAGGTAGGGAAACAGTGAAAATGAAAGTGCATATATTTGTAGAATCAAGGCATGGTCAGGTTCTGGAAAGGTTCTGATAGAATTCTTACGCGCCATGTGGGTGATCACATCCTCAAGAGCCGGTTGTCCACAGGCAAAATTTCTAGCATTTTCTAGTGGGCTAGTGGTTATTTTCAACCCTACTATTACGTCATCTTATTTTATGTATCTTATATATATATATATATATATATATATATATATATATATATATATATATATATATATATATATATATATATATATATAGATAGATAGATAGATAGATAGATAGATAGATAGATAGATAGATAGATAGATATATATATATATATATATATATATATATATATATATTCTTTATAAATTCCCAATTATTCGTAAGAATGATTCAACAGTAAATACAGTCATGGCCTAAAAATAAAAATTTAAAACTAATTAGATGCATTTTAATTCTACATTAGATGAACACGAATTCTACTCTATGAAACATTCACCACAAAGGAAGTATGCATCAAATACAACACTTTCCGACACGATTTCCCTCAAGTTTCCGGACAGATACTAGTACACAGAGAAATATGTCTACCTATATTACTCTGGATGAGCTAAATAACCAAGAAGCTGAAAAGTTTATACCTCTTCTGATTATATACGTTATTTACATGGTCATTGGAACACTTGGAAATGGAACAGTTTTACTTGTTCATCCGAAGCTGAAGCACTCTGATGGACGACACTTCATTCCGTATCTTGCTGCAGTCAACCTTACATCCAGTCTGATAGGATCCTGCTTTTCCATCCTGTTAATTATGTTTCGAGTTAATTTTTACTCTCAGAGTAGATGCCGTTTTGGATGGTATATAGTTACTTTAACGCAGACCTTTGCTTCATTTATTCTAGTAGTCATTGCATCAGACCATTATCGGCGGATTTGCAAACCTCACTCAAAACAGATGAACAAAAGAGTAAGGATATGTGTTCTATTGTCGACATTTTTCTTGGCTGCCATGTTAGCCATTCCACTCCCGTTCCAATATAAAGTTGCAGAAAATTACAGATCAGAATATAATTTGACAACATACTCATGTCACAGAAGTGCAAGCAGTGATCCAACCATAGATTCCTTATACGCAGGTGTCCTTATGCTTGCTGGATGTTGCAGCACTGTAGCAATTTTTGTTTTGTATTGTAAAATTGGACAGACTTTGCGCAGGTTCGTCGAAAGAGGAGAACAAAATGAAATTTCAATGATAAGTTTGGACAGCAAGGTCAAAGAAGGGGTTGACAACAAAGGGTTTGAAGAACACTCTTCTACAACCAATACAACGGTGCCATCTAGCGGCGCACAAAAGAAAAGGACCGAAAAAGAAGCTAGAAAGAAACAAGTGAATCACCGCCACCATGTAATGACTCACTTTGTGAAAATATTTATCATGATTTCTCTGAATTATTTACTAACATTAATCCCTTCAGCTGTTATTGTTGTGCATCAGAGTATTTCGATCACTTTCTGGAATTCACTTAATGATGCCCAGGAAGTTGGTCTTACATTCTTCTCTACTTTGTACATAGCTCATAATATCATTAACCCCTTTATATTCGCTTTCATGGATCACGAATTCCGAGCAAAACTTCGATATATTATAACCAGCGTAAAATGTAGACAATGGTTTTGCTCTTGCAAATGAATTCTGCATGTACAATATACAACAAATATAAATAAAGCTACTTCAATTGTGTCCATCTTCTGATTCTTAATGCAAATGTAACACTTGTTCTAAAGACAAAAGTAATGATTATATTAAATAAATATATTAAGGAGGGATTCTTGTCTTTTTTCTGACTAAATGAAATATTCGAGGTGTATTTGCTTATATGACTCACATATTTAGATGTAAGGGATTTCAAAGATCGTATTTTTCCTTTCCTCATAATTGTACAAGTTTAAGGTAGTACACAATAGATAGGCCAAATTTTTCCTCAAATTCAATTTTGTTCAAACTTTGAAATTTTGTTCCAGAATACAAAATCTCTCTTTATATCTAATATGAAAGAAATTCAACCATACATTTTTTGCCCACAGAGTTTGAAATATGGCCTTTCAGAACCCTTTAAGAAGATTGCGAAATCAGACAGCCGATCTGATATTGTGCATTATTTTAAAATAACCAGTTGGTCTATTGCAAACTTGTGTGATGCTACTTATAAAGGCAACCTTTTGTACTAAAATTTAGTAAAATATTTTGATACCGGTATATTTGAGTAAAATATGATGTAAAAATATTAATAGAACATACATAGCCCGAAAATTGAAAATTCACATGTAAGTAGGCAACACATTAGGTCCTCGTTAAAGAAAATGAATAATTTAATTTTTACCAAAAATCAACAGAATAATTAAAATGGAACCCAGATTAAAATATGTCAAAATTAGGAAATTTGAACCGACGGTTTTAGATATTTTGGAGATTTTAAATAAATTACATAAAAAATGTAAAGATTCAGCAGACGACATCAATGTATTTGACCTTTGATCTTTTAATATGACCTTGACCTTTACTGTACAAAAAGAATTGAGACTCCTCATAAATATGTCCAAATATCAATTCTCTACTATAAATGGATCAAAAGTTACTTTGCATTTAATAACAGGCAGTCATATGGCTTGTATACGTAGATAGCATGAACACAATCCAAAATGTAGGCTCCCGAATGACCATTATATAGGATGTCTCCATTTTTTCCCCCAAAAATATGGTGAGAACATATCACAGCTTATTGTTTTTCTTACAAAGATCTTTGATTATTGACATCATAGTGAAATTATTCTTTTTTCTAGTGTACTTTATAAAATATGCGTAAAACAGATTTCATGGGTGTTACATGTATGTACTACCTTTATATAGAAATGGTAAACTGAAATCTAGCAGGGACTTTATTTTTTGAGGAACGGCGGCGTATGGAAATATATGATTTTCTGCTTCTGAAAATTACTACAGAAAAATGAATTTAATTAAATTGTTTTAACAATCAAAGACTTAAAGAAATTTTCTATTGAAACTAAAATCAGAAATAATGGACTTAAGTTTTAAAATATATCAAATCAATATGATTTTCCGAAAAAACAACAATTTTGTTAGCTTTTGAAAGCTTCCAATCTAAGTACAGATTTGAGCAAAAATATCAGTAATAAGTGCTTTTTCTCACGTAGTAAACAGTCTACACTTTTTTGTTTTTGTATCATTTTGTATCTTTATGTGAGTACTTTACCATACGTGAAAATCAGAAAATTTTAAATAAAAGAAAAAAAACATACAATAATAACTAATATTCCCATAAAAAATTAGATAATTAAATAGCTATTTTAGTTATATGTATTATGCATCTCAAATTGGTAGTATCATCTGATTAGGGTGACATCTTTTTATGCAAAAAGAAAAACTTTTATCTTTTGAATAAGACGTAGGCATCACATGATTGGCAACAGTATTTTTTTTAATGGAAAAGATAATGAACTTGCCCTGATCTTGCTTCTAAAATGAAAAGGTCAAAATTAATTTAATTGATACATCACTTAGTGATATTGTCTTCTTGAATATATGAAAATTTCATCAATTTTTAAATATAAAAAATATGAGAAGAATCCCTCCTTAAACCCAATTCATTATGATGCAGGCATTGCATCTTATTTGGTACTATTATGTGGTCAAATCAACACATGAAGGTAAGAGAAGACAAATTTTACTTAGTAGAGTCTTGTTCAAATCAGATGAAAATAAATATATGGAAGAACATTATAGTTAATATGTGATTTGATAAAGCAAGATAAAAATGACTATTTTAAAATCAAAATTTATTTCAACCATTCATAGAAAATTAAATACACACAGTTTGACAAATATCTTTCTTCCCAGATTAACAGCATACCATAAAATTTCAATACAGAAGATACTAACTGAAGGTCAGATAATCAATGGCAAACATTATCTAATCGCTTGTTCGCGAGGAATAAATAAGATGTTGCGTGGATTGACTAATTAGTAACTGACATCCGACGAAATGTTAAACTGGAGGACATATTTTATATAATCGGATGGTATATCTTAGACTGATTAAAATATATCTTGCATCTTAATGAGTTACGTCACTGTCAAATTTGACAAAGACGATCTTTCCGATAGGGACGATGATCTGAATTACTCTGCCCAAAGTCGGTAAACAAATTTTAACAGACACTTAGTAAAATGTTCAAAGATCCGTGCCATTTTTAAATGAAAGTTAATTTTTTCTTTGATTTAATTTATGAACATAGTAACAATACGATCTAAGGATATCAAACCCTTTTAATTTTGGTGTGGGAAAGGAAATTAAAGAGTTTTTACACAACGCTATAGAATTATAATTTGTCGAAATGAAATAAAATCTTCATTTAAATTTGGACATGGGAACATTTTTACTACAGATTAAACGGGAAGCTGACGTAAACACAACCGTGTGCAGTTACTTCAATGACATTTTTCAACATTTACGTTTGGCTGTTACGCCAAATTAACTCTAGGTGTTAAAAGTTTTGATTTGTTCGGGAAGAAAGCAAAACTTGAACATTATAAAAATTAGATTTAAATGCTACACATCGATGACATGCAAAAATTTGAACGACTCAATGGCTGTGAATATGAAATATGCAACTGAATCTGCTAATGTGTATTAAGTTTCAAGACAATAAACAACTGCGTGTTTTGTTTAAGTAATACATGTATTATTAAAATACTAGTAACCAAACAAAGCTTTCAAGAGAGAGAAAAAGGAAACCACTCTATCCTCTAATATAATAAGTGAATTTAAATTAGATGACTACATGTGTGCACATGAGTGCGTGTTTTCTTTTTTTTTTTCTGTGGTGAAGAAATATCTATTTAACACATTGTCTCTTACGAAATATTTAGATCGAAATATTTGCAATAATGATCTGATTTTTTCTCTTCTTCCGTAAGAATTTCTTCGACATTAGTCAGGCTCAGGCTATTGATGTACAATACACATTTGTACTCAATGGCAGGTCAATACAGTATCTAAATATTGACGATGAAGATTCCTAGAGATTTGCAATTTATCAGATTCTTAGACCAAGTTAAGAATTTCATTTATTAGGCAGATTAGATTAACCTACAACAAACAGGCAATTTACAATTTTCATGAAAAGAGACCTCTATTTTATCCACATGTATTTATTTATTTGGGGGATGGATACAATATATTACAATAATTAATTATTTCATAACATTTCGTCATTAATTATGTATATGTAGCTTTCATGCTAATAAGGCAGATGTTATAAATTGAATAATTATTTGAAATAAACACTCTTTCGAAATAGACACACTTCAAGGATATCTGATTACGTAAACTATCGAGGTTGACATTACCCAATTGACACAGTTCTTGTAAGTGTGGGGGTAAATTGTAAGCTTGATTTGTTAATCAGCAAAGATAAATTAAATAAATCGTGTTATGATTTTTATCAAATTAGGGCTCTGTTTCGCTCTGAAAGCTGATAAAATCCTTGTAAACATAAGTTTAAATATATATTTAAAGTACTTATAGAATATGATACCCTAAATAATAGCAATTCAATCCACTCGAGTTCCCACAAACTGACCAAGATTAGCCATTTTTTAAGAGGGCAAGAACATGCACGTGACAACAAAGAAAATAACCTATTAATGTAATTAACTTGTTATCTCTTTAAAACGTTTGTGAAAGAAAGACGTTCAGATTTTGGAACGAGACGAGCGAATACGATATCAATTGATTACGTCAAACATATTCCTCGTCAAAGTTGAACTAGTACAGAAAAAAGGTAAACTTTGGGTCTTGTAAAGATAATGGTAACCACGGGAAAGACTTTCACAGCCGCCATAAGTATTATCATGAAAATTTAACAACTTCCGTATTCTTTGGATGCAATTTATCATGGCATCGGTCCTCTTGTAAATTGGCTTCCGGCATATGGGAGAGCTTTTGTAATCAGTGGCTCACTTTAAATACATAGATAAGATATAAGTAGTATCTATTTTGTATATCTGGATTTCCAAACCGTCAATCCGACACAACAGTTGTCTTCTTGGGTATTACGGAGTCTGAAAATAGCTCGCCTACACCGGAGGAAAGACCAAAGAAAAAAATCGCAGGATGTTATTTTTTCCTAAAAACATATTTAATATCCCGGAGAATAATGTTGCTTGAGTTTATCAAATCATACGTATACGACTAAAACACTAGTTTATTTGAATTTTACGAGCCAAAAAACCCACCCTTTTACTGTATCATGCACAACCGACAGCGAGATATTATCGCTGAAATTGAAACTATATAAAAATGCTTACACCTTTTTTTCGAACACGTACTTCTTTAGATGGAAACAAATAGGGTTCTGTGCATAGTACAGACGATACCAAAGTATAATTTCGTAGTAGTTAAAATTGAATACTAAATGGAGTGATACTCTAACGAAGAAAAGAGCTAAAGCTTATTAAAAAAAGTCCCGACCTTGTAAAATGATTCGTGCTTAAGTTACAGTTTAAACTCCTTGCCTTTTTTTCAGTGGTGGCACGGGCGATTCATTCAGGAAATTTCGAAGGTCAGAGGTTTTTACTGAAAATGCAGAGAGATCGTAATTATTCGATTC